GATTAAGCCGAAAGACTGTCCTGCAGAAAGGGTCTTCAGAAGTCACCCAGACTAAGGGTCAACAAACTATGGCTTGCAGACCAAATCCAGACTACCACTTGTTTTTGCAAATACAATCTTGTTGAAACATATCCAGGCTCATTTGTTGACATATAGTCTGTGACTGCTTTCCTGCTAAAGCAGAGTCTGGTAGTTTTGACAGATACTGTATGGCCTCTAAAGCCTAAAATGTTTTATTATATGGCTCTTTACAGGAAAAGCTTACTGACCCTGATCTAGTCCAGAGGCCTTCAAGCTCTTTCGCTCATGTATTCCTATTAGTTTAAAAACGAAACAAAATATATTCTTTGATCTACATATGTATATTTGCTTATTTATAAAGTATTTAGATGTACTACCATTCTAATATATTTATCATAAAACAGTTACCCAAAATAGAAATTCAAATTCTAGTATTTTTTCCAACATCCTTAAGAGTCGTTTTGACCTTTCTTTGGTCTAGAGATTTGGAGACTAATCTAGATAATGATCATCAAACTTAATACCCATAGAGAAGCTATGAAGGGTTCCATAAATAATGAAAGCATTGTGTCCAACAATATGGATTTGAATTCTGGGAAAGCCCAAATTTCTCACATTTATCCTTGTGTTACATGGTATTTATATGACAGGTTTCATTCAAAAAGGGAATTTTGTGGCTGAAAAAAAAATAAAAGAGGGCCAAATTCCTGTTTCTAGTCATGATAGAGTAACTGGGACTGGACTTACCCTCCCACTATAAACTACTGGAAAACAGGATAAATATACAAAACTTTTCTGACATTGGTCAGTAGGCTATGCATGACTATGTCCTCTATTTCATTGTCCTAGCTTTCTCTTTGGAGGCGCTCTCCTGACTGTGTTGCATGGTGGCCTTGCTGAGATGAAGACACAGGGATCGGAGTCCAGGGAGGCTGTAGTGGGAGATGTGTATAGTGTGTAGAGCAAGAGATGAGGGGATGTGCAGAAAGAAGGGGGAAGGTGTGCTCTAGAAATCTACACAGGGATCCACTTGAGTCAGTTGCTGAATACTAAGCCATGTGAGAAGGGTGAGATGCCATGATGCTGGGCAGAAAACAACTAGTGAACTATAATAGTTTAAGAATTCCTAGAGTTCAGGGCTAGGGACATACAAATTGTGACCAAAATGGAGGAGCTCTTGGGAATATAGCTCAAGGGTAGAGCATTTGACTGCAGAATGGAAGTGCTCTTTGAACACCCAGGGTACTTTGTGGAGACCCACAAGGGTCATGCCTTAGTACTGAGGCTAGTGTTGACCTAGAAGGAAGGTCTTACCTGCCCTGACACAGCTTAAAACAAGCCTTGAGAGAATGATGCTAAACTGCAAGTAATATGCCTACTAGGCAGAAAACACCCAACTTTCTTAAGAGAAGGCAATGCAATCTAATCCAGTTAAAAAAAAAAATGTTCATATACAAAGAAACAGAAGAAATGTGGCCAGGAGAAAAATCAGGCAATCTAAAGAGATCTAGAAAAGACAGAGATGATTGAATCATCTGCCAAGAACCTGAAAAAAGCTACTTAAACTGTGCTCAAGGATTTATAGGAAACTATGAACATAATAAGGACAGTGAGACATACAAATGAACCAAATGAAACTTCTGGAAATGAAATTTGCAATATCTGAAATGAAAAATCCACTGAGATGAAATATAATGGAATAGGCACTGCAAAAAAAATCAAATGAACTTGAAGATGTAGCAGTAGACATGATCTACACTGAATCAAAAGAAATTTTAAAAAACAGAAGAAGAATAAACCGAGCTTTGGTGACATGTGGCTCTTAACATTGTGAAACAACAAGTGGTATACCATTGGTATAAGTGGAGCCCCAGCAGACAGGAGCAAGGATAGAGAAAATATTTGTTGAAATAATGATTGGAAAATATCCAAGTTGTTGAAAGGTATAAACTCACAGGTCCAAAAAGCTCAACAAATCCCAAGCATCCAGGAAAAAGGACATGTGCACAGAGGAATAAAGATAAGAATGACTGTAGACTTAGTGACAGCTGGGCAAACCAGGAGATACTGGAATTGCATTTCTAATGTGCTGAACACAAAAACTCCACTGTTATGGAGTGAATGTATGTGTCTCCCTACAAGTCCATATGTTGAAGCCTTAACCCCCAGCAATGTGGCTTTGAGTAAGGAAGTAATTAAGGTTAAATGAGGTCATGAGGATGGGGCTCTGATTCATTAGGATGTGTGTCCTTATGAGAAGAGCCACTGCAGGGCTCTCTCTCTCTCCACTACGTGAGGACACAGGAAGAAGGTGGCTCTGTGCAAGATAAGCAACGGCCCCCACCAGAAACTGAACTTTCTGTGCCTTAATCTGGTACTTGTAGCTTCAAGAGCTGAGAAAATAAATTTGTGTTCTTTACACCACCAGTCTATGGCATTTTGTTATGGGAGCCCAAGCAGACTAATATGCCTTCCAAAACACAGAAACTGCCAATATAGAATTATGGACTTGGTGAAAATACCCTTCATACAGGGGGGAAAAAAGACATTTTTAGACAAACAAAAGCTGAAAGAATTTATCATTAGTAAATCTGTACTACAGGATTTATTATTTTATTTTAAACTGAGGAGAAATAACTGAAGAGAAATAACTGCAAATGAAATCTACACAAAAGTTCCAGAAATTATAATTACATGATTAAATATAAGAGTTCCCTCTTCTCTTAAAAATTATCTTTGAGAGATTTGACTACTTTAAACAAAACTTAGTAACAGTATATTCTGGGGTTTATAATATATGTAGAAAAAAATATTTGACAGCAGCACAGAGAATGGACAAAATGGAAAGATGAGGTTCTTATGTGTGTAATAATATAATAATATTTGAAGATAGATTGTAGTAGATTAAGCATTTACATTATAAAGCCTACAAAAACCATTGCAAAAATAAAACAAAGAAACTGTACAATAAGCCAACAGTGATGATAAAATGGAATACTAGTAAATAATCAAAAAGAAGGCAGAAAAAAATACATGAGCAAAGGACAGATGGGACAATAGGAAACAAATAACAAGACAATGAATAAAAAATCAGCTGCGTTGGTAAATTCTTTACATATAAACGGTCAATCAAAAGGCAGAAATTGTCAAAGTGGATAAAAAGAGCAAGATCCCACTCTATACTGTCTAAAAGAAATTCACTTTATAAATTCAGAGGTATGTTAAAAGTAAAATGAAGATAAATTGTGTGCCATATAACTAAGTATTAGAAAGCTGGAGTGGCTGTATTAACATCAGGCCAAGCAGACATTAGAAGGAAGAATGTTATGAAGAATGCATTCATCGTGTGAGGCACAAGGTACAATATTTTGTAACTAGAGTCACTTTCCTGGGTACCAGTTCTCCAGGAAAGGTGGATCTTGAGTGTCCTCACCACAAAAAAGCAAAATGGTTAGGTTATAAGGTGATGGATATGCGGGTTGACTTGGTTGGGGTGAATATTTTACAATGTATATGTATATACATCCTCAGGCACATTTTAAATATATACAATTTTAGCTTGCCAGTTATACCCCAATAAAGCTGGGGGTAAAAGAATACAGAGGCACACTTCATAATGGCAAAAGGGTCAATTCATCAAGAAGACATAAAAATCCTTATTATTTATATATCTAATAGCACAGTTTAAAATACACAAAGCAAAACCTGAATGAAACTGAAAAGAGAAACAGACAAATTCACGATATAATCTTATATAATTATACTTTTATAATTAGAGAATTCAACACCCCTCTCTCAGTAGTTGTTACAACAACAGGTAGGAAATCAGTAAGGACATAAAGAACCTGAGCAACTCTGTCATCCTGACGTCACTGGTATTTATAGAATATTCCATCTGTCAGTAGCAAAGCGCACACTCTTTTCAAGTGCACTTGGAACATTCATCAAGAGAGGCATGGATCAAGTCTCAGTATGTTTTTGGAGTGAAATGAGAACTCAATTCTGTGATAGTCCCAAGTATTTGGAAAGTGCAAAGCATGCTGTTAAATAACCCATGGGTCAAAGAAGAAATCCTAAGAAAAACTAGAAACTGTCCTGAGTTAAATGAAAAAGAAAACCTAGCAATCTGTGTGATGCAGCTAAAACTATACTCAGAGGGAAATTTATAGCTTTCAATATTTATATTATGAAACAGATTGGTTCCTATGCTGTCATTTTACAGGCAAGAGGACTGAGGCCCAAGCATGTTGAGTGATTTACATAAGGCTGCATATTGGTAGTGTCAGAGTTAGAAATAGACCCTGCCGGATTGGTTTCTTTCTCTTCCACTGTCTCTTTTATAAGAACGGGACCGTCTGTGGACCGCCTGGCCAAGCACAGTGGGAGCTGATCTCACAGCAGCTCTGAGTAGTTAAGTAACTTGCTTAGTGTCACACAGCTTGTGTTGGCTCTTGCATCTGAATTAGTTGTGAACAACCTAAAACCCATGCCTAGGCCGGGTGACTCACTGCGCCTGCTTTTGGCTCATGCTCAGTTTGGACTCCGGAACGCTTATCCTTCCTCTACTATAAGGTTGAGAGTTAATACAGTTAGGCTTTTCCTTTCTTGACAGTTAATCAGATTCTACTGGCTTTTACCCCCAACTGTGCTCCCTGGGGTGAGAGGCAGGTGAGTGTCAGGGGCCCAACCCTCCCCACGTATTACCCATACTGTGCTTGCTGCCAATCCAAGCTTCTACACTCCATGCCAGTAAGAACTCTTCTTTGGTCACGCAGTAATCCTTTTCCTTTGGAGAGTTGCCAAAAAGGCCATCATCTCAATTAGGAAAAGGTTTTGTGATTGAAGTCAAAGCTGCTAGTGCGGCCGTGGGGATTAGCGGGCAGGGGCCACCGTGAGAAGTCCAGCCAGCCGGCCACGCATGTGCTAAACTGCCCTCACCTGCACAGCAGCTGGTCAGTGTGTGCATCTGGACCACCTACCTGTCAAGCTGGCATCCTCAGGTATTATTCCCCTAGAGACAGTCAGTCTGTGTGTCTCCAGTTGTCTCCAAGGGCATAAAAAGGGGACAGTCCTTTTCTCTGGATGGCTTTTCTAATAAAGCCATCTACTGATCCCCTCACATGGACTTTAATTGCTGAGAGCAATAAAGCATGTGGCCTGTTAATGTTCACACCCCAATTCTGCCACTTTCTAGCTGTGTGTCTTGGGCAAGTCACTCACCTTGCTGGGTCCCAGTGTTCTCATTTATGAAATGGGCAGAATAATAGTCACAGGTTTGTTGTGAGAATTAAATGACATATACATAAAGCATACAGAAGAGCAATGTGGGTTCACAGCCATGCTTTTTTAAACATTAGTGTGTATTATTTAGCACAGTTTTTTGGGAGGAGTCTTTGCTGGGCAGGGTCAGCTGCTTCCGCCTCTACCCTGCTGGTCAGCAATCTTGGGTGCAAATGACGCAACCTGAACTCGGCAGCCTCGGGCAAAATGGAGGTTCAAGGGTCACTCCAGCTTCAGACCTTGTGTGACATTTGACATTTAACATCTTGCATCTAACATTTGCAAATGTGAAGTAATAACCTCAGGAAAAACCGAACAGCCTAATATAGAGATTTTGTGAGGACTTAAATATGAGATGACTATTTTCTTAGGCATAGTTTTTTTTGGGGGGGTGAAAAAAAGTGGCCTTGTTACCAGGCCTATCTGGAAACTTAAAAAAAAATCTCCTTCTAAATTCATTCAGTTGTTCAGCACATATTTACCAAGATATACACTTGTCTGTGGGGACAGGAGATAGAGGAGAACTGTGGTATCAGACCGAAAGCTCTGGCTGCATGGAACTCACATTTTAGTGCAGGGAGAGGAAAAACAACCATCAACAAAACATGTGAGTAACTAATAGAACAGATAAAAGGAGGACCGGAGCTATGAGGGAAAATAAAGCAGAGCTGAGTGCTGACATTTGTTCCATATGAAAGCATATGTATTTACAAACTTACAGGATGGGTAAGAAAGCCTCTTCTCTAGGAAACCAGCTCCGTGTTCAGAAGCTGAGGGCAGTTACCCTTCTCTTGAGGGAGACACTGAAACAGCAGGATTGGTGAGCGATCTCGGGCTGTTTAGGACTCTACGCATGCTCTTCACAGTGGCGTCTCTCTAATGAGGCTGATGACCCTACGCCGTTCCAGGTAACGACGTGGCAAGGCTAGCGGGTCCCTCAGAGAGGTCGTGGGGGTCCAGGTGAGAGGGTGTAAGCGTGGCGCTCACAGGAGATGGTATCTAGTATGATGCCAGGAGGGCGCCAGCCCGCGTGACCCGCATGGAAGGAGGGAAGGAGCGGTTTCTCCCTTTCCTTGGTGACCCGGGCCTGGATCTCAAACAGAACAGTTGCATGAGGAAATCAGCTTGCTCTGAGGAAGAGAGGAAGGCCAGTGCGATGTCTGGGCTTATTACGGCTCCTGTTGGAAGCAAGACAGAGAACACCACTGGAGTATTGGATCAACACGTCCTCGACTTCCAGTAGCATATTTCAGGTGCTGAATTGCCTTGAAGAAGGAAAAAGGATCTGGAGTTACTCATCAGATCATCTGAGGCCCATGACATCCTGGGCTGTGCTTTTCTAGAAAAGCAGGGTCACTGTGAGTACAGAGGCATGAACCCCAACATCCCTGCCCCCTTAGCAGGTGGCTGTGGGGGCTCTTGGCTCAGGGGCCTTCTTGAGGAGTCAGTCTCTCTCTCTCTTTCTCTCTCTCTCTCTCTCTCTCTGCATGCCTGCATGACTGTGTTCACCTCCAGGGTCAGAAAGCAGTAGGAAACTTAGGCCTCATTTCACAGCCACCTGCTAGCATCTACTGAACCCCACAGTGATGGGCTAGGCTCCCCAGGAGCTCTGGCTGAAGTGAAGCCTTGATGGCCATTCTGTGGTTGGCCCCAGCGTGAGCAACGAGGGGTGGTTGCCAGTCAGGGTCTGAGCCGTCCAGCATGCCTCGTCCTTTATGCTAAGAAACATGATTAAGAGATTGAGAGTAGATACCTCCTTTTGAGAAGAGACTAATGGACAGAATGACATTTTGGAATCAGGCAGAAATGGATTCAGTCCCATCTACTATGGGAGCTACGTGACCTGACTTTTCTGTATAGTGGGAACAATACTACTTGTCTTGCAGGGCAGTTGTGCTGTGACAGAGTGATTTTCTTTATACAAAATCAGACATATCACAGAGCAATACACATCCATGCATTGCAGAGACTGTAAGAGTAATAATAACAATGGCATCATTATTTTTGGACTTTTGTGGTATTAACCAAGGAAGATGTGTCCGTCTTCTCCCTGGATACCCCCATCGCACACAGAGGCTGGTTTGGGTGCCTTGCGACAGAGCTCGTGGTAATACTTGCTGTGCAACAGTGACACCAAAAACTAGAGGGAGTGGCACCAGATACAGAGCCACAATGTCTGAATCAAAGCAGCAGCTCTGCCACAGACTGATTTTGTTACCCCAGGCAAACAAGCCGTGTCTTAAGATTTTGATATTATAAATTCCCACATGCAAATAAAAATGCAGAATAGAGTTACAGAGTGTAAGGGATCATAAGCACTCTTGTGCTACTCCCCACAGACCATCACCAATACTTCTGAAGACCCCTGTGAATCCCCTTCTATCCCATCTCCTTCTCCCTCTCCCTCTGTGCCACCCTCCTTCCCTGTTACTTCCTGAGTTTTAAATGTATTACCCCTTGCAAGCAAGCTTCTTAATTCCTCAAACATTTGCTAAGAAGATTGAAGGAGCCTTGTAGGTGGACAGTGGGACATGGATGTCCATTAATACAATTGCCTTGTTTTTAAGTCTGCAATCATCATGTTGCTATGGAATGGAGATTAGACACCCACTTGCTGCCTTTTTGCATCAAGATGCCCCAGTTTCAACAGTCAAGGGCATTTTATTTTCCTGCTCTGTGCTCATTGTCAGGGTGCCAATACCCATGAATTTCATCTACCCTGTTCTGGACAAAGAAACCAGAGCAGTCAAATTCCTTAAAACTGTGAACTGGCCCTCAGTGTGGGTGAGGGTGTCCCTCCTTGGAGTAGAAAGCAGGAACTTCATGACCTGCCTTTAAAGGCATTTGCTTCCATGGTTCAAGGACTCTGTTGATCCCTCTTATTTGGGCTGTGTGCTGTGGAGCAGTAGTTTCCATCATTCTCACATTTTTACTCCATTTGCCATACAGCAAACCTTCATTGTATGCCAAGTACATTGTAGTTAGAAAGAGAGAATTTTGAAGTACCATTTTCCACGCAGGGAGCTCCTGCTTCTGTGGGGCAAGGGGGTACCTGGACGCTTATGCCTCACAGTACTCTGTGCCGAGAGAGTGATGCCCAGGTGTTTGGGGACAGGTGGAAGAGCACCAGAAATGGTCAGGGAACACTTCCTAGAAGAAGGACACCTGAGCTGGGTACTGAAGGTAGAGTAGGAGGTGGCTAGGCTGCTGGCTGGGACTGAGGCAGAGGGACTAGTAATGAAAAGGTGCAGCCCTGAAAGAGAAGAGCGGGCACCTCCTCTGTCTTCCTCGTTTGGGGAAATGGTGCTTTTAGTCCAGGATGCTGGAAACCTCAGAGACCTCCTTGGCATTGCTGTTTTCTTCATGTTCTAATCAACCCATCGTATGCCAGCTACCCCAGCCCCAGAGTTGTTCCCAAGACTTCTCCTTCTTTCCACTTTGATGACAATTCTCGCCAGCTAGGCTCCTACCTGGACTTCTGGAATCACCTCCTCCATGTGCCACTCAAGCCCACTCTTGCCCCATCTGATCTATTCTTCATCAGCCAGGACGAACTTCCTAATGCAGCAATTTGAGCACCCTCCTGCTCAAACCTTTCAAGGGCTTCCTAAAATTGTCAATGCAAAGTGATATCTACATTGCAGCCTTGGAGACCCTGCACAGACAACCTCAGCCTACCTGTCCATGGTCACCTCTTGCCCCTCTCCTCTCCATCACCTGCAATATCGATGCTGGCCATTTTCTCTGGCTTCCTTCACTGTTTTATCTTTGTCTTTGGTTTTCCATCATGCTGGTAGTTTCCAAGTCCTCAAAGCCTCTGGCTCATAACTTTCTCAGGACCTTAGCATGTGCTATCTTCTCTGTTCACAGTTGCTGTCTGACCAATGCACATATATCTTTCAGGCCTCAGCTTAATTGCAATTTCCTCAGAGAAGTCTTCTCTGATCCTATATTATTTAAAATTTCTTCTCCCACCACACCCTATTTTTTCCCTGTATAGAACTCACTGTAGTTCATAATTTAAGTATTAGCATGGTATTTGTGTCTTTCATTACACTTGAAGCTCCAAGAAAGCAAGGATTATATTTCACTTACTGCTCTCTACATACCATCTCTCACAGTATATGACACATAGCAGGTCTTAATATGTATATAAGTTGAATGAATGAATACATGGGATGAGTAGCTCCAGGGGAAATACATACACTTGGGTTAGAAGAGTTATGGAAGGCTTGTGCATTAGCTATCGCTTTACACATGACAAATTACCACAAACACAGCAGATTAAAACAATATAAATTTATTATCTCAGTTTTTGTGGGTCAGGAATGCAGACACAGCTCAGATTCCTGAGCGGCTCCAGTCTCACCAGGCCATAATCAAGATGCTGGCTACACTATTATGCTCAGCTAGGGCTTAGGTCCTATTGATGGTTGTTGGCAGAATTCGGTTGCTTGTGACTGTAGGACAGAAGCCCTCAGCTCCTAGATGCTGCCCTTCTCCAGAGGCAGCTTTCTTTGTTTCTTTCCTTGACATTAGCAGGATAATCTCTCCAAGTATCACATGTTTTCCCTTTAACTTTAGAATAGTTACAGATATATGAAAACGTCATAGTACAGCACAGATAGTTCCCACATATTTCATACCTACTTTCTCTTGTCATTAACATTTAACCTTGGTATGATATTTATCACAATACATTATTACTAAACAAAATCCATATTTTATTCAGATTTCTTCATGTTTGTTATAATATCCTTATCTGTTCCAAGATCCCTTTCAGGATACCACAT